AAACAGGCATATATTAATAATATATGCCTGTGAGACACCATTTAATTAACAGTCAGGTTTCCGAACCACATATATTAATAATATGCACATACATTTACATTTTCTCATTTAATTGTATCAAATAAATTGTTGTTTACACTATATCTCAAAGCCAAGTTCACATATAAATCATTTTCTTTCATCACGCAACTACTTCTTCTATCAGTAAGTATATATTCATTTTATCAATTAAAATGTTGATTTATATTCGACAATAGTTATTTCAGTCTACCTCTTACAGTGCTTAACAAAAATCATAAATATTGAAATCAATGAAGAAAATTTTTACATGTTGAGTAATTATTTTTGTGTTTTTTTTTGGATGTTTTTATCTCATATCTTTTCCTGTTGGAAAACTTTTCTAATACAAAACATTGTCTACTATATTATTCATACACCAAAAAAACAAAAAATACTTTATATAATAAAATTTTGTTACTTTTTTTATATTAACTATAAATATCATGTGGTCTTATCGTTTAAGTGTTTGAAAAAGATTTTTCTTTTCCATAGCAACCATGTCTTTCTTTACTTTGTAAATCAGTCTAACGTTTATGCTATAAGATACACATTGCGTGACAATACCCATACACACGCAATGTTGTCAATAGAATTAAAAAAAGCATTTCTCCGATAAACGACAACTCCGATTGACTTTTCTCTCGTTTTTTTTTCTGCATTAGAACCATCATAATTTGTGATTCGATTTCACCGTTCTTACATATTAAAAAAACGGACATAATAAAGTATGGTGTACTGCTCATTACCTTAAAATAAACATACGACAGGCGAAATTTTCCTTTTTTTTTGCATTATATGTGGGCGTGTTTGCTTCATATACTATTACTATCATAATATTTTATATCCTGTTTCATTCTCTCGTTCATTCTGTTCAGTAAAGAGAAAAGAAAAAAAAAAAGAAGCTGTATGTTATTATTTTTTTATTAAACGATCGATGTAGAGAAGAGGAGAATCGAGTTTTTGTCAACATCTATAAACCATATTGCAGTTTGTTTAATGACAACAATATGTAAAATGATTGAAGTAGGTATCAAAAATGTTCTTTTTAAAAATTGATTATTGATCAATGAAAACTATTGAAATCATGTCTTTTTCTGCTTGAATTGAATATTATAGAAGAAAACTCTTATGCTATTCTTCTGAAAAATGTTTGAGAGACTGTCGAAATATCTATTATTGTTATTAAAGAAAAAATTTAAAAAAATATTCTATTCAGTCGTAACCATTGTATTGGTTGTTCTATAATCGATCTGTAAACATCATTGTTTGAACAACAAAAAAATAGAGAACTGCAGAACATTCTTTAGCGATGCGCCAAAGACATTAACATGTATTTATATATATACGTATGTCTCTTCTCTGTCAGTTATAAAGTGTAATTCGTTTAGTGTTGACAAGCGAAGTCAGAATCTAACGTCGTGTGACATTCATTAGGCTTTCGGGAACTTGGATACAACTGTCGCTCTGTTTGAATAGAACGAAAGGCTTCTTTTTTTTTGTATTCGACTGTTGTTTTAATTAAATGTGAACGAACCAGGGTCGATGACTTTTTAATTCATACATTTAATTCTCCATTCTATCAAATGGTTTTAAAACTGTTGTATTTCTGAAGGAAGCGTGAAGCAGGTGTGGAGAATTGCTTATTAACATTGACGAACATCGTTAGTTGATTTTCTACTTCATCACTAGACTAGAGAAATTAGTATTTCCTTTGAAAAAAAAAAAGAAACGAGAAAGAATTGTTTCTTTCGCATGCGCGAACATATACCACTCGAAGAAGAAAAAAAAGGGGAAAGCAGTAGAAGAATAATTGAAAAATCTGCACAAGATGACAACAACAAGTTGTAAGGCAAAGTCAGTTCATTATCTTCTCACTGACATGCATAGATACATTAATACTGATTGATATAAGACATAGCCAAAAGGTAAAGGGAAAAAAATGTTAATTAAAACTTGTCATTTACAGATAAATTTCTATGGCTAATTCAACAACAACTATAATATGTTGTTGCTAATACTAGATGAAGCCATTTTATCATAAAAATGATTATTTACCATGAGCTGCCGCCTGTGGGTGATGCTCATATTTATAATTTTTCAATTGAAAACCAAACTTATGGCATTGAATTATCTGGAAAGTAAATAGATCATTCCTTGTTTTTTTTTTGTTCTAAATTTATCTTCTATTTATCTTTTATTGAAGATTGTTTCTATGAAAAACGTAGTAATACAGCATTACATGGTTATAATGATTTACATGATCGTTGGATATCGGACTTCGATTGTTTCGATCGTTGTCTAAGACTCGATTCTCAAAAATGTCGTTCATTTGAATATTGGCATAGAAATGGATATGGTCTATGCGTACGAGCAAATGTTTCATTAAATGATTATCCATCAGTTATGAGACATAATATATTTGTTGATTATTATGAAATTCTTTGTCGAAGAGATAATAAAGGTTTATTTGAAAATTTTTCTCAAGTGTTTTCTATTTTGTATATTTAATTTATTTTAGGTATAAAAATAAATACAATTCATTGTCCAAGTGATCAATTATCTGTAACCATACAATTGAATGGTATTGATCCAAATAATGTTCTACTTGGTGATCGTAATTGTAAAGCATGTTGGTCAAATGAAACACATGCACAATTTATTACACATATTAATAATTGTTCATTGGTATTGAATAGAAAAAAAAAAAGATGTCTAAATATTTACTTTTTAATTTGAAAGAAATTTTCATTGAAGTCAAATTTGATCAAAATAGAAAATGAAATTTCAAGGAAAAAAAAAGAGACTTAGTATAATTGCGTTTTTCGTTAATTAAAACAGCAAGACAGATTATTTAAAGCCTCTTTAAAATAATAAACAAGGAAGGTATTTTAATTGCTTAGAAAATTTTTTCTATCCTAATCCGAAGATAAAATAGATAAGCGAGTTAGATGTTTAGCACAATGTAATTTAATACTTTTAAATACTTGATTGTTTTAGATATGAATTTAACTACAATACTTCATGATGAAGTTTTATCATTGAAGCTGACCGTTTCTAACATCTTTTATGAGACTTCATGACTGCAAATTAAGACAGAAATTTTGAGAAGGACTTAAGACACCTTTATATCTTAAATCTAAAGCGTCTATATTAAAATTAGCTTTTGTGACAAAAGTACTTGATTGTATATCGATCGACTTCTCAAATAATTAGAAAAGATTCTTGGCGTAGCAAATTGAAGTTTTTTCGATAAAATTTATAGCTTCGATTGATTGTATTTTGAGACATACGATTCAACCAGACACAACAAATACTAAAATAATATAGAGTCATCATTGAGCTGTTTGTCGAACTTTTAACTCAGAAACAATAATAGATTCGATAGATCTATTGTTAAAAAAGAGCATAATACTATCTTCTATCAATCATCATAGATAGATTCACCATTGAAATGGATCTCTGAAGTTTGCTATTTAAATCTCATATCAGATGATTAAAAAGACTCTTTTTTTTTTAATTTTCTTTTTAAATATATAGATACTAACAAATGATTCAATTATTGGTAAAATTCATTGGAAAAATGTACATAAAACTAACAATACTACCAAACAATATGCACGTTTTTTTGTTTGTGTATCTACTATAAATCAAATACGTTTGTTTCATCAAACATCAACTAAACCAACATTTTCAGATAGTAGAAATACATTATTAACAAATTCTGATCATTATGAAATTTCTAATAATGAACAACAAATTATGTCAGCATATAGGTAACTAAAAATAAAACTACATAAATATCAACTTTAAAAAAAAATATATATTGTTAATGTTTTTAAGAATTACTTTAACATGGACATTTCATAATCGCTCATATCTTTGTCCTGAAGCTTGT